ACACGTTAAACCTTGTATTAATGAAATTGGGAATGAAAAAGTCGACTCAATATTGAGTAGTCTTGTCAAAATTAAAGAAAGAGAATGATAAAATAATTAACAACCCTGTCCCTACGAGCCTACACACTTGTCACCAGCAATGCAGCGATTTTCAATCATCTGCAATACTTGTTATTCTTGTTTTGGAAAAGTCTTGGGTGATTACGAGAATTACTGACTTTTTAACTTAGCAACGGTTCTCGCCGCAACCCTAGAGAATACAGAAGTGTCCACACTAGCCGGCGACAATTGCTTATGAAAAAACAATAAAAACCAAAATAAAAAAGTTATGCTATTACGGTTAGTAACTCCCATATTCACAAAGGAAAAGTCATGGAAAAAAGTTATTCTCGTATTCACGTACAACTTTTTCTTTTCCAAATACAGGTTATTGGCCATCAACTGAACCAAAAATGAGTCCTGGACCAAGTACTAAAAGGACCAAAATTTACCATTTTCACAATGAATGGGAGGAAGTCTATTTTTTTTTACCATAAATAATTTGAGGTGTGTGTGTCTGACCTGCCACGCGCCTCCAGCTCTCTCGCCAAGAAAGGAGCTATGAAAGAGGAAAGTTAATGAACTGAAATCACAGCTTACTGCAAAACAAACTCTTTTTGCCGGCGCGAGTTCAAAATCAAGGGTAGCACCATTACGTCATTCAGGGTGAGTCGAGTACTCACAAAGCATAAAAAACATTTCAAGATGGAGAAATATTTAAAGGCCTTTTAGAAGCAGCAGATTCGTGGTTTAAAAATTTAAAAAATAAGTCTAAAATACTGTTTTCTATTAAGGATGTTCAGTTATCAAGAAACAGTCATGAGGCGCTGTGAATTATGGCTGGGGATTTGGGTGAACAACTGAATAAAGACATACATGAGTGTGTGTTCTTTTCATTACAATTTGATGAGTCTACTGATATGGTCGATACATCACCATTATGTATTTTCATTAGACTGGTGTTTAAAGACATGAGTACCAAAGAGGAACTGCTGACAATTCCACTATTAAAAGGAAAAAATTGGGGTGAAGAGATATTTCAGACTTTCAGTGATTTTGGTAATATTTCACAGTTGCCAACTTGTATCTATGACAACTGATGGAGCACCTGCAATGGCTGGTCGAGTCAGTGGGTTCATTGCCCTGTGCAGGAGTGATGATAGGTTTCCTAACTTCTGATCACAACTAAGTGTGGCTGTTAGATTTAGCTTATTTAGTTGATATGACTGCCATGCTAAATAAACTAAAGGGAAAGATAAAGCTATAGTTGACATGATGAGTGCTGTGACTGCTTTCAAGCAATAACTAAAACAAGTGTCTTCGCAGCTGCAGCAACATCAACTACGAAACTTCAGAAATACAATGTCTGAACTAGAAAACCAAGGAAAAGGGTGTGACCAGTTTGACAGTGCTCGATATACTGAACAGGTACAAAACCTTGCCTCATATTTTGACAGACGGTTTCAAGATATATCAGCAATAGAACCTGTTGCAACATATACGTGCTTTCCGTTTGGTAAAGACAAATAGTGAAGATATTGCATCTAGAATGGCATCAGTATTTAACATGGACATATCTGAAGTCGAAAATGAACTTCTAAAACTTTAAAATGCTATTCAGATCAAATCAATGGCAACGGGAGGAAGTTTCTGGAACCTTTTCAGTGAAGAAATATATCCCAATGTCAGAAAATGTGCCATAGGAGGAGGGGGTGTTTTGGGTGAATATTAGGCTGGTAGATCGCGGCAGGGTAACTGGAAAAAGTAGATCACATCACACAAAAGGTTGGCCACCCCTGCTGTAGAGTGTAGATAGTCCCCCTGCTGTAGCGTGTAGATAAACCCCCCTGCTGTAGAGTGTAGATAGTCCCCCTGCTGTAGCGTGTAGATAAACCCCCCCTGCTGTAGCGTGTAGATAAACCCCCCTGCTGTAGCGTGTAGATAAACCCCCCTGCTGTAGAGTGTAGATAAACCCCCTGCTGTGGGGTGTAGATAAACCCTGCTGTGGAGTGTAGATAAACCCCCTGCTGTAGGGGTGTGGATAAACCCCTGCTGTGGCGTGTAGATAAACCCCCTGCTGTAAAGTGTAGATAAACCCCCTGCTGTAGCGTGTGGATAAACCCTGCTGTAGAGTGTGAGATAGTCCCCCTGCTGTAGAGTGTGAATAAACCCCTGCTGTAGAGGTGTAGATAAACCCCCTGCTGAGAGTGGAATAAACCCCTGCTGTGGAGTGTAGATAAACCCCCTGCTGTGGTGTGGATAAACCTGCTGAGGTGTGATAAACCCCTGGGTGTATAAACCCCTGCTGTAGAGTGTAAATCCCCTGCTGTGGCGTGTAGATAAACCCCTGCTGGGGTGTAGATAAACCTGCTGTAGAGTGTGAATAAACCCCTGCTGTAGAGTGTAGATAAACCCCTGCTGTGTGGGGTGTGGATAAACCCCTGCTGTGGGGTGTAGATAAACCCTGTGTAGGTGTGAACTGCTGTAGAGTGTGATAAACCCCTGTAGAGTGTAGATAAACCCCCTGCTGTAGGAGTGTGATAAACCCTGCTGTAGAGTGTAGATAAACCCCCTACTGTGGCGTGTGACTTTGTAGCGTGTAGATAAACCCCTGCTGTAGGGGTGTAGATAAACCCCCTGTGGCGTGTGAATAAACCCCCTGCTGTGGTGGAGATAAACCCCCTGCTGTAGAGTGTAGATAAACCCCCTGCTGAGGTGTGGAATAAACCCCTGCTGTAGAGTGTAGATAAACCCCCTGCTGTAGCTGTAGATAAACGCCAGAGTGTGGATAAACCCCCTGCTGTAGAGTGTAGATAAACCCCTGTGATACCGCTGTGGGTATAAACCCCTGCTGTGGCGTGTAGATAAACCCCGCTTGGGGAGTGTGATAAACCCCCTGCTAGAGTGTAGATAAACCCCCTACTGTGGCGTGTAGATAAACCCCTGCTGTAGGTGTAGATAAACCCCCTGCTGTAGGTGTAGATAAACCCCTGCTGTGTGTAGATAAACCCCCTGCTGTGGGGTGTAGATAAACCCCTGCTGTAGAGTGTAGATAAACCCCCTGCTGTAGGGTGTAGATAAACCCCTGCTGTGGTGTGTAGATAACCTGCTGTGGTGGATAAACCCCTGCTGCAGGTGTAGATAAACCCTGCTGTAGCATGTAGATAAACCCCTGCTGTAGAGTGTAGATAAACCCCCTGCTGTAGAGTGTAGAAACCCCTGCTGTAGAGGTGTAGATAAACCCCCTGCTGTAGAGTGTAGATAAACCCCCTGCTGTAGAGTGTAGATAAACCCCCTACTGTAGGTGTGAATAAACCCCCTGCTGTGGAGTGTGAATAGCCCTGCTGTAGAGTGTAGATAGCCCCTGCTGTAGAGTGTAGATAAACCCCCTGCTGTAGCATTAGATAAACCCCCTGCTGTAGAGTGTGAATAAACCCCTGCTGTAGAGTGTAGATAAACCCCCTGCTGTAGAGTGTAGATAAACCCCCCTGTAGTGTAGATAAACCCCTGCTGTGGGGTGTGGATAGACCCTGCTGTGGGTGTGGATAAACCCTGCTGTAGAGTGTAGATAAACCCCTGCTGTAGAGTGTAGATAAACCCCTGCTGTAGAGTGTGATAACCCTGCTGTAGAGTGTAGATAAACCCCCCTGCTGTAGAGTGTAGATAAACCCCCTGCTGTAGAGTGTGAGATAAACCCCTGCTGTAGAGTGTAGATAACCCTGCTGTGGTGTGATAGCCCCCTGCTGTAGGTGTAGATAGCCACCCTGCTGTAGAGTGTGAATAGCCCCTGCTGTGAGGTGTAGATAGTCCCCTGCTGTAGAGTGTAGATAAACCCCCCTGCTGTGGGTGTAGATAAACCCCCTGCTGTAGAGTGTGAATAAACCCCTGCTGTAGAGTGTAGATAGACCCCCTGCTGTAGAGGTGTAGATAAACCCCCTGCTGTAGGTGTGGGTAAACCCCCTGCTGTAGAGTGTAGATAAACCCCTGCTGTAGGTGTAGATAAACCCTGCTGTAGAGTGTGTGATAAACCCCTGCTGTAGCGTGTGGAAAAACCCCTGTGGCGTGTAGATAAACCCCCTTGCTGTAGAGTGTAGATAAACCCCCTGCTGTAGCGTGTAGTAAACCCCCCTGCTGTAGAGTGTATAAACCCCTCTGTAGCGTGTAGATAAACCCCTGCTGTAGGGTGTGATAAACCCCTGCTGTAGAGTGTAGATAAACCCCTACTGTAGCGTGTGATAAACCCCTGCTGTAGAGTGTAGATAAACCCCCTGCTGTAGAGTGTAGATAAACCCCTGCTGTGAGTGTAGATAAACCCCCTGCTGTAGAGTGTAGATAAACCCCTGCTGTAGAGTGTAGATAAACCCCCTGCTGTAGAGTGTGAATGAAACCCCCTGCTGTAGAGTGTAGATAAACCCCCTGCTGTAGAGTGTAGATAAACCCCCTGCTGTAGAGTGTAGATAAACCCCTGCTGGAGTGTAGATAAACCCCTGCTGTAGGTGTAGATAAACCCCTGCTGTAGAGTGTAGATAAACCCCTGCTGTAGAGTGTAGATAGCCACCCCTGCTGTAGAGTGTAGATAAACCCCTGCTGTAGAGTGTAGATAAACCCCCTGCTGTGGAGTGTAGATAAACCCCTGCTGTGAGTGTAGATAAACCCCCTGCTGTAGAGTGTAGATAGCCACCCCTGCTGTAGAGTGTGGATGATACCCCCTGCTGTAGAGTGTAGATAGCCACCCCTGCTGTAGAGTGTAGATGAGCCCCCTGCTGTAGAGTGTAGATAGCCACCCTGCTGTAGAGTGTAGATAGTCCCCTGCTGTAGGGTGTAGATAGCCACCTGCTGTGAGTGTGGATAAACCCCCTGCTGTGAGTGTGTAGATAAACCCCCTGCTGTAGAGTGTAGATAAACCCCCTGCTGTAGAGTGTAGATAGCCACCCTGCTGTAGAGTGTAGATAGTCCCCCTACTGTAGAGTGTAGATAGCCACCCTGCTGTAGGTGATGACCCCTGCTGTGGGGTGTGAATCCACCCTGCTGTGAGTGTGAGGTCCCCTGCTGTGGTTAGCCACGAGAGTGTAGATAGTCCCCTGCTGGAGTGTAGAAGCCACCCCTGCTGTAGAGTGTAGATAAACCCCCTGCTGTAAGTGTAGTAGCCACCCTGCTGTAGAGTGTGGATAAACCCCTGCTGTAGTGTAGATAGCCACCCTGCTGTAGAGGTGTAGATAGTCCCCCTACTGTAGAGTGTAGATAGCCACCCTGCTGTAGAGTGATGAACCCCCTGCTGTAGAGTGTGAATATCACCCTGCTGTAGAGTGTGGATAGTCCCTGCTGTGGAGTGTGATAGCCACCCCTGCTGTAGAGTGTAGATAGCCACCTGCTGTAGAGTGTAGATAAACCCCTGCTGTGAGGTGTAGATAGCCCCTGCTGTGGAGTGTGGATAATGTCCCCCTGCTGTAGAGTGTAGATAACCACCCCTGCTGTAGAGTGTAGATAGCCACCCCTGCTGTGGGGTGTAGATAAACCCCCTGCTGTAGAGTGTAGATAGCCACCTGCTGTAGAGTGTAGATAGTCCCCTGCTGTAGGTGTAGATAGACACCCTGCTGTAGTGTGTTGATAAACCCCTGCTGTGTAGAGTGTAGATAGCCACCCCTGCTGTAGAGTGTAGATAGTCCCCTGCTGTAGAGTGTAGATAGCACCCCTGCTGTAGAGTGTAGATAGTCCCCCTGCTGTAGAGTGTAGATAGTCCCCCTGCTGTGGGGTGTAGATAAACCCCTGCTGTAGAGTGTAGATAAACCCCCTGCTTTGTAGAGTGTAGATAGTCCCCTGCTGCTGTGGAGTGTAGATAGTTCCCCCTGCTGTGGAGTTAGATAAACCCCTGCTGTAGAGTGTAGATAAACCCCCTGCTGTAGAGTGTAGATATACCCCTGCTGTAGGTGTAGATAAACCCCCTGCTGTAGAGTGTAGATAAACCCCTGCTGTAGAGTGTAGATAAACCCTGCTGTAGAGTGTAGATAGACCCCCTGCTGTAGAGTGTAGATAGCCACCCTGCTGTAGTGTGTAGATAAACCCTGCTGTAGAGTGTAGATAGTCCCCTGCTGTAGAGTGTAGATAGTCCCCCTGCTGTAGAGTGTTGATAGACCCCCCCTGCTGTAGAGTGTAGATAGTCCCCTGCTGTAGAGTGTAGATAAACCCCTGTAGAGTGTGAATAGTCCCCCTGCTGTAGAGTGTAGATAGACCCTGCTGTAGAGTGTAGATAGTCCCCTGCTGTAGTGTGTAGATAGCCACCCTGCTGTAGAGTGTGAATAGTCCCCTGCTGTAGAGTGTGGATAGCCACCCTGCTGTAGAGTGTGGATAAACCCCTCTGCTGTAGAGTGTAGATAGTCCCCTGCTGTAGAGTGTAGATAGACCCCTGCTGTAGAGTGTAGATAGACCCCTGCTGAAGGTGTAGATAGTCCCCTGCTGTAGAGTGTGAGTAGCACCCCTGCTGTAGTGTAGATAAACCCCTGCTGTAGAGTGTAGATAGCCACCCCTGCTGTAGAGTGTGGATGGTCCCCCCCTGCTGTAGAGTGTAGATAAACCCCCTGCTGTAGAGTGTAGATAGCCACCTGCTGTAGAGTGTAGATAGCCACCCTGCTGTAGAGTGTAGATAAACCCCTGCTGTAGAGTGTGGGAGCCACCCTGCTGTGAGGTGTGAATAGTCCCCTGCTGTAGAGTGTAGATAAACCCCTGCTGTAGAGTGTAGATAGCCACCTGCTGTAGAGTGTAGATAAACCCCTGCTGTAGAGTGTAGATAGTCCCCTGCTGTAGAGTGTAGATAAACCCCCTGTGTGAGTGTGAATAGCCACCTGCTGTAGAGTGTAGATAAACCCCCTGCTGTAGGTGTAGATAGCCACCCCTGCTGTAGGTGTAGATAGTCCCCTGCTGTAGAGGTAGATAGTCCCCTGCTGTAGAGGTGTGATAGCCACCCTGCTGTAGAGTGTAGATAGACCCTGCTGTAGAGTGTGAATAAACCCCTGCTGTAGAGTGTAGATAAACCCCTGCTGTAGGGTGTAGATAAACCCTGCTGTAGAGTGTAGATAGCCACCTGCTGTAGAGTGTAGATAGTCCCCTGCTGTAGAGTGTGAGATAAACCCCTGCTGTAGGTGTAGATAAACCCCCTGCTGTAGAGTGTAGATAAACCCTGCTGTAGAGTGTAGATAAACCCCTGCTGTAGAGTGTAGATAGACCCCTGCTGTAGAGTGTGGATAAACCCCTGCTGTAGAGGTGTAGATAGACCCCTGTGCTGTAGGTGTAGATAGACCCCTGCTGTAGAGTGTAGATAGTCCCCTGCTGTAGAGTGTTGATAGACCCCTGCTGTAGAGTGTGAATAGTCCCCTGCTGTAGAGTGTAGATAAACCCCTGCTGTAGGTGTAGAATGACCCCTGCTGTAGAGTGTGGACCCCCTGCTGTAGAGTGTAGATAGTCCCCTGCTGTAGAGTGTGAGATAGACCCCTGCTGTAGAGTGTAGATAGACCCCTGTGGAAGTGTGAATAGTCCCCTGCTGTAGAGTGTAGATAGACCCCCTGCTGTAGAGTGTGAATGAGTCCCCCTGCTGTAGAGTGAGATAGACCCCTGCTGTAGAGTGTGGATAGCCACCCCTGCTGTAGAGTGTAGATAAACCCCCTGCTGTAGAGTGTAGATAGTCCCCTGCTGTAGAGGTGTAGATAGACCCCTGCTGTAGAGTGTAGATAAACCCCTGCTGTAGAGTGTAGATAGCCACCCCTGCTGTAGGTGTGGATAAACCCCTGCTGTAGAGTGTAGATAGTCCCCCTGCTGTAGAGTGTTGATAGACCCCCTGCTGTAGAGTGTAGATAGTCCCCCTGCTGTAGAGTGTAGATAAACCCCCTGCTGTAGAGTGTAGATAGTCCCCCTGCTGTGAGAGTGTAGATAAACCCCTGCTGTAGTGTGTAGATAGCCACCCCTGCTGTAGAGTGTAGATAAACCTCCTGCTGTAGAGGTGTAGATAAACCCCTGCTGTAGAGTGTAGATAAACTTCCTGCTGTAGAGTGTAGATAAAGCCCCTGCTGTAGAGTGTAGATAAACCCCTGCTGTAGAGTGTAGATAAACCCCTGCTGTAGAGGTGTAGATAAACCCCTGCTGTAGAGTGTAGATAAACCCCTGCTGTAGAGTGTAGATAAAGCCTGCTGTGAGTGTGAATAGTCCCCTGCTGTAGAGTGTAGATAAAGCCCCTGCTGTAGGTGTAGATAAACCTCCTGCTGTAGAGTGTATAAAGCCCTGCTGTAGAGTGTAGATAAACCTGCTGTAGAGTGTAGATAAACCCCTGCTGTAGAGTGTAGATAAACCCCCTGCTGTAGAGTGTAGATAAACCCCCTGCTGTAGAGTGTAGATAGACCCCCTGCTGTAGAGTGTAGATAGACCCCTGCTGTAGAGTGTAGATAGACCCCTGCTGTAGAGTGTAGATAGACCCCTGCTGTAGAGTGTAGATAGCCACCCCTGCTGTAGAGTGTAGATAGACCCCTGCTGTAGGTGTGGATAGACCCCTGCTGTAGAGTGTAGATAGACCCCCTGCTGTAGAGTGTAGATAGACCCCCTGCTGTAGAGTGTAGATAGACCCCCTGCTGTAGAGTGTTGATAGACCCCCTGCTGTAGAGTGTTGATATAGACCTTGATTCGTGACTCGCTCCGGGAAACTTAAATCATCGTTTTACTTTTGATCAACAGAGAACATCTCGTTTTTAAGAGTAAACTAAAAAAGAAAACTGTAGTACATCGTAACCTTTGCAAGGCTGTAATGACCTAGAAGATGACAACCAGCAAAATACAGCAATAATATAATATTGATCAAATCAGTGGAAGTACAAGTTAAAATTGTGTCCGGCAAACCACTGTTGACGACACATAAATTGAATCATTAGCATATAACGTTAAATTAAATCTAATGACATTTTAATATTTCCTCTGAGATAATGTTATGTTTATTTCAAAGTGTGTATCGTCATCAGCGGTTGGTCAGCAACTTCCTCGCTACAAATATAATCAGACCTTACAATGAATTATCAGGTGATGATGAGTATCTTTTCTATAAACTAATACTCAATGTTTTAAGAAATACAATTAAAATAACTGTAGCCAAAATTAATATTATAGGGCGAAAAATTTTGATCTTACACACTGGAGCAATTTTGTTTTTAAGAATCATTCGGCAACATTCACCCTCATACTAATAACACAGATTAACCTTCACTATAGGGACGCCACTTTTAATATTTGATGTGGCAAAACACAAGCGATTTTATTCAGCTCAGAGGAGACCCCGTACACATGAGGTTCGACCAATTGACACAATATTCTCTTCACGAATAATTACGTTATACTCTGGCCCCGTCCAGCAGCAGGTACCGAGTCTTCCACAAACTAAATCATACAGAATCCTAGACATGAATTAAGACAATAAATCAAAATTACTTATGACTTAAGATCTATACTAATGTTTTTGGTGTTTTTGTTTTGAGTGCACCAACCAATAAGGTCAGTTGCATCGTCAACATCTCATGTGATACGACAGAAATATAAGCAATACGTTGCAGAATTTACATTAACTAAAATCAAATACATAGTTATTTTGTTGTCTTTAATCAGAATTATTTAAGTATCGTTTATTAGGTAGTAAAGATTTGTTTACATATATTTCTGTGCTTTAACGACTAGGAATTTTCTGCACATAATTGAAGTCAGTTCCTTGCCTTGCCAAGTATGGGAGCAGTAGTCACCCATCCTGTTGATCTTGGTAACAACAGTGTGGTGGTGGTGTGCCTTACGTCATAAAACTGCTGTAGTCATATACACCGTAATGATGACATTAATAAATCTGATCTTAAATTACTGACGATGTGGATATTGTATATAATATAAAATACATCGAAAACTGCAAAAAATAACCTTGCAGTTCCTTGTGATTTAGATTCTGTATAATAAAAATAATAACAGCCTCTGATAACACACTTTACATCACATGACAGACCCTTAAGGTTTCCTGCAGCATACCAGCCTCAGCACGACCCATATCACGGCAACTTTGATCAAACATTACCCTAAAAATTCCTGTTGATCGTTCACAGCTTGACCTCCAACGTTTACCAATTGTTTTATGTCAACATTAAGTCTTGATTTACCTCTTCAACGTGTAAATATGTAATCAAGTGAACAAAATGATCGTCTAGACCAGCTGATGACTTGTGTAGGAGGACTTGAATATTTAATATTCTTCTTGTTCATTACAGTCAACAGAGCCAACACTTGTGAGGAGCAGACGAATGACGTTAAAATTTATTCCATCAAATCTTTTCCTTCACCAAGTTAACTATACCGAGTTATGTTGATCTGTTCGTTTGTCTTTCTTGGTGTTTTAAAAACATTATTATGGCAGTTCAAGAGCAAGAGAATTCTTTAGTTTTAAGATGTATAAACAGCATTAGGAACACTCATTCACTTGTACCTCTTCACTACAAGGCATCTTCACTGCAGGTCCACCGAGAACACATTGCTAGCGTCTTCTGTGATAACAATACCGTTACCTCAACACTCTTTTCTATTCACTGAAGATACAATATAACAAAATGTATACTAAAGCCTTAACAGTTAAACTTACAATAATCTCAGTCTCGGCCTAAGTCCTGAACACACCTTCATTACACGGGAAGCGGCAGCCTTTACAACGCTATAGTACAGTACCCGGATATTTAACTTCAAGCAGAGACGGTCAAATGCAGTAACTAGTTTTAAAGAATTAACAAATAAATTAATTCCACCAAATTAATTAACTTATATAACACTAGCAAGTCTAATTCTTGAACTAACGCTGATGAAAGTAATGTATAAACTAGTGTACTGGAATTCATGCTAAACTAACATCAGCCGTGTACTAAAAACTAAACAATAATAAATAAGATCACAAAAACTAAAGCATTTGGAACATACTGATTATATAAGTCAATACTAAGTTAATACAATTCAGCCTAATACTT